TCCCTCCCTCCCTCTTTCCTTCCTTCCTTCTTCCCTCCCTCCCTCTTTCCTTCCTTCCTTCTTCCCTCCCTTCCTCCCTCCTTCCTTCCTTCCTTCCCTCTTCCTTCCTTCCTTCCTTCCTTCCTTCCTTCCTTCCTTCCCCCAATATTCAGGCTAAGTTCCTATTGTTAGAAAGCCCAGTTTTTGATCTCTGCTAGATACACTTTATTAACCGCCGTGATTAATAGCTGTGGCAAGAAAGGTTGCAAAATGGGGCAAAATTCACTTTTAACAGTTGCCTCGCTTAGCAACAGAAATTCTGGGCTCGATTGTGGCCGTAAGTCGAGGACTATCTGTATTCCTTCTCCCTGCTGCAACTCTGAATTGTGATTTGTGGGCACTCGGGGTGTTAGCAACAGGCTGCCTTCCTGCAACAACTATCCTTTGGAGGAATGCGTCAAGTAAAAACAGAATGCCAGAAGCGTGTGTGATAGGGTCATCTTCATATAGGTCGTCCTCTACTTATGACCAGTTGCTTAGCAAAATACTTATGACCCAGTTGTAAGGTTCCAGTGGCTGCACACTTACACACCACTGTGAAATGACCATATTTATGATCATTTATAGCATTCCCGCTGTCAAGAACAACAATTTACAATGTGTTTTTTTTGCCTAAAACCAGCATTTACTTCTGGTTTTCAGCAAAAATGCCCCCTAGCAAACAATGACCACAGTCTTCACTTAATGACCATATGTTCACTTAAGGATTATAATGATTTGCTTAACAACCGCTGAAAAGAATGGGAGTAAAATTAGATCAGATATGTGATAGCTTGCTTTATGACTGTCACATAATAGGCAGGCTCCATTATTGTTCTAAGCTGAGAACTGATGGCCACAACTGAGTCCAAAATTTCTGTTGCTAAGAGAGACGTTTGCTGCAAGTTTTATCCCGTTTTACAAACTTTCTTGCCATAGCTATTAAGTAGATCCCTGCAGTTGTTAAATGAATAATACGGTTGTTAAGTGAATTTGACTTCCTCAGTGATTTTGCTTGTCAGAAGGTCGCGAAACAGGATCACGTGACCCTGGGAACACTTTAACCGTCATAAACCCGAGTCACGTTGCCAAGAATTTTGATCATGTGACAGTGGGGATGCTGCAACGGTCATAACTGTGAAAAATGGTAGCATGTCACATTTTCCAGTGCCATTCAACTTCGAACGGTCACTAAATGAACTGTTGTAAGTCGAGGACTACCCGCGGTCACCGAATGACTATGCTGAAGAAAAGAAATAATCCATCTTCCTGAAACGTTCTCAGAAGTTCAGAAGGTTGAAATAATCCCTGAGTAGTTTGACCCTAGAAAGGGGAGTAGAGTGAAATGAAAAGAGATTAAAATTAAAGATGATTGATGTTTTATGCTAATTAGCATTCCCTCATTAGCACCACCTGCATATATTTTTGGCACTTGGGTATCATTGTGCTTCATTCCCCAGTTAGCTCTGATTATCTGACCAGTGGAATCAACCCTTTTAATAGAGGTAGTCCTTGGCTTACAGTCGCAACTGGGACCAGACATTTTTGTGGTTAAAGAAGGTAATTTTAAGCGAATCACCACACCAGATTTTATGACTGTTTGGTGAATCACTGCAGTTGTTAAGTGAATCACACAAATCATGAAGAGAAGGTTGCAAAAGGGGGTGGTCCCATGGTCTCAAGACACTGCAACGGTCATAAAAATGAAACAAGGCCGAATTTTGATCATGTGACCAAGGGGATGCTACAAAGATTGCAATTGTGAAAAGTGACCCTAAGTCACTTTTTTTCAGTGCCATTGTAGCTTTCAACAGTCACTAAATGAACAGTTGTAAGTCGAGGAGTACCTCTACAGGCAGGGGCTACGCAGCTTTTCTCCTCACTGTTCAGCGATGTCACCTTAACTCAGTGGTCTTCAAACTTGACAGCTTTAAGACTTGTGGACTTCAACTCCCAGAATCCCTCCTTCAGTCATGTTACCTCAGGAATTCTGGGAGTTGAAGTCCACAAGTCTTAAACTTGCCAAGTTTGAAGACCCTTGCCTTAAATGGATCACCCAGATTCCTCATTAACCGACCACTTGATTCCCTCACTAACCGAGCGCTGGGGCCTCCTGCGCTGTATCATTCCTTGCAACAGCCATTGAATCACTACTTGTTCGGTGGGAACTACCAACAACTTTTGTTCCGCTTGCAGCTTCCTCAACCGAACAACACCAAGCAGCATGAAATGAGGATATCTAAATCCATGGGAGACATCCTGGGATCTCTGTATAAAGACATCGAGAGAACACGGAAGCATTCAACAGGTGGGTGAGATGAAGTTGCGCAGTAGGCCATGTTCTAGGGAGGAGGTCCAATAAATCCCATTCTTGAATCTGAATAGATACTGCTGCTCTTCACCCTAAACTTTCAGTGTTTCTTGACTTTGCAAATTTAAGGTGAGTGGATTTCAACTTCCAGAATCCATGATGGCTGCGGAATTCTGGGAGTTGAAGTCATCTCAAAGACTCTAGGGTTCAGAAGCACTGGTCTTCAATTCTGGGAGTTGGTCCTCTCAAAGACTCTAGGGTTCAGAAGCACTGGTCTTCAATTCTGGGAGTTGAAGTCCTCTCAAAGACTCTAGGGTTG